GACTTCTCTTCTTTATGTCTCACAGTATGATCCCCTGTAGGGCAGTGGATATGTTTACAGTCTTGTCTTTTGTATTTGTGATGCCGTCATGTTTTGTTACACTCATGTTTAAGGTTTCATGATGCGTTTATGTTTAGATGCTCTAGGCTCTTCTCGTTGAGCAGGGTTTCTGTAATTTTCTAAATCTGGTGTTGGTTTCTGCTAGTGCTGGGCGGTATGACCAAAAATTTATATCACGGTATTTTTCAAAATTATACCGGTATCTAGTGCTAAAGTCGCGCTCGTGTGTGTGTGTGAGACGCGGGAGCTGATGGCAGGGGGCGGTGGATATTTGTGGCGGTCAGTGTGGATATTGTGGATGAGTTCTTCTGTCATCACGTTCTATTAGTTCTACAGCTTTAGTTTCGGAACTTTCACGCTTAGTAACACATACAGCTGTTCCCTCACCACAGTGCAACAGTGAAAAGGGACCCCTTTCAAACAGTGTCACGTTCCGAACATTGTTTAAGCGACATACACCGGTATTGTGGAATTAAAAAAATTCATATCATAACAAAAATAAACACCGGTATTCGGTATGAACCGGTATACCGCCCAGCACTAGTTTCTGCTGTCGTGACGTTTACAGTAACCCAGTGATCTACAAGCAGTGACTTACTGGCTAAAATGCACAAAACGTCATGTGATCACAGTCAGATGACTGTGACTAATGTCAGCATCAATAATTCACGTGCTTGATCTCTTGTTGGCCTTTCCTCTAGTAACCTATACATCGCTCCCTCATATTCTCCATTCCTGGTCTACTTTTCTGTCTTTAAGTGCTTTAATTCTTTGTACTTCTCTGGCTTACTCTGTCTCTCTCTCTCTCCCTTTCCCTTCCCCTTTCCAGTAATGGATGTGCTCCCAGTAAAGCACTTAACTTCTCATTGCTCTTCCACTGTAAGATAAATAGCACAGTCAGGCAGTGTTTAATGTTTTATTTTGTTTGGATTTGAAATAGTGCTTTGGCTCTGTAGTAATGATTTCTGGTAGAAGGTTCTTAGTTAAATGAAGTTGGTTTTCATGTCCTACCCTGAGCACTGTGTTGTTAATCATGAACTTTAGTCCCCATTATCTGCTTTTCATTGTATAATGGCAACTGTGTTTCTTAACATTACATGTAAGGCAATGTTGTAAATGTCCTGAGTATTCAGCTTATGAAGAATACTGTAGATCTGTGTATATATGGTAGTGATGTATTGTTGGATGTTTGTTGTTGTAATTATGTTGAATACTCAGTTGCTACTGTCCTCAATTCAAAATCGCATGGATTGAAGTATGTCTATATCTTTCGTGATAATAGCTTGAATCTGCCTACACTGGACGTGTCAAAACTGCATGTCAGAATGTTCACTAGCTTCTTTAGAATGCATGTCATCTTCAGAGTGTGCTAGACTTCAGCTACAGTGGGGAAAATATTTATTTGGTCCCCTGCTGATTTTATAAGTATGCCCACTTACAAAGAAGTGAAGGGTCTGTAATTTTTATGGTAGGTTTATTTTAACAGATAGAGACAGAATATCAACCAAAAAATCCAGAAAAACACATTATATAAAGGTTAAAAATTGATTTGCATTTCAGTGAGGGAAATAAGGATTTGATCCTCTACCAACCAGCAAGAATTCTGGCTCCCACAGATTGGTTATGTGCCCATGTGGAACACAGATTAGTCCTGTCACTTTAAGAAGTTACTCCTAATGTCAGCTCGTTAGGTGTATAAGACATCTGTCCACACAATCTGTATCTTCCATTGCAACCTCTCCCACCACCATGGGCAAGACCTGAGAGCTGTCAAAGTATGTCAGAGACAAGATTGCAGATCTGCACAAGGCTTGAATGGGCTACAACACCATCAGCAAGAAGCTTGGTGTGAAGGAGTCAAGGAGACAACTGTTGGTGAGATTATTCGGAAATGAAAGAAATACAAAATAACCATCAATCGGCCTTGGTCTGGAGCTCTGTGCAAGATCTTGCCTCATGGGGTAAGGATGATCATGAGAAAGGTGAGGGATCAGCCCCGAACTACACAGGAGGAGCTTGTTAATGATCTTAAGGCAGTTGGGACCAAGCAAAACATTGTTAACACTCTACGCCGCAATGGACTGAAATCCTGCAGCGCCCGCAAGGTCCCCCTGCTCAAGAAGGCACATGTACAGGCATGTACAGACCTTATGGATTTAGAGAGGATCTGGAGGAGGAGTGGATCAAAATGCCTCCTGAGATGTGTGCAAACCTGGTGACCAACTACAAAAAACGTCTTACCTCTGTGCTTGCCAACAAGGTTTCTGCACCAAGTACTTAGTCATGTTTTGCATGGGGATCAAAGACTTATTTCACTTATTTTCACTGAAATGCAAATCAATTTCTAACCTTTATATAATGTGTTTTTTCTGGATTTTTTGGTTGATATTCTGTCTCTATACGTTAAAATAAACCTACCATAAAAACATACAGACCCTTCATTTCTTTGTAAGTGGGCAAACTTACAAAACGAGCAGGGGATCAAATAAATATTTTCCCCACTGTATGCTAAAATGGGTGAATAACTTTGTATCCAACTTTAATTTTGATAGAAAATATGGATATTATATAGTTTAAATATAATACAAATGCAATATCTAAATTTAGAATAAATAATAATGTTAATTGCTGTACTTTAGCAATGCTAGAATGGATGAATAACTAGCCTATCTGTTCAACTTTATTATTGACTGAAAGCTGTTAATATGAAGTTGTTGTTATTATTAAATATAAAATGTAATACAAATATAATAATAATGCTAATAATAATTATAATAATTGTAATAATGCTTAACTTAAGCAATGCTAGAATGGATGAATATGTATGCAACTGTATAGCTGACTGAAACATTTATATTTGTATTATATTTGATATCATTTATCAAATATAATACAAATGTATCAAATTATGCAAAAAGTAAATATATAAAAAATATTAAATTATTATTATTTAAAATGATTTTAATAGTATTAATAGTCCACAGACAAAAAGTCACAAAATAGGTTACAATCTGAAGCTGTTTAAATGTGTGATAGCAATAAGATTACACATGACATTTCTCTTATTATTGCTACGTTCACACTGTCAGTTTTTGGAATTGACAACCGCATTTACTAACAGGTGTGAGTCTCGAAATGTCCCGTTCACACAGCAGCTTACAGTAGCATCTCGAATACTGTCTGTATTGAACGTGCAACGGGAGTCAAGCCTGTATTCCTTACCAGTAACCATAGCAACAGTGACCAAAGTAATATCAAAGATGGCGACATCCATAAAACTGGAAGTCTTATCACTTTCTGACACGACAAGAGTCCAATTGAGCCGCAAGTTCATTCGTCAGATCTTCATTAACTGACAGCTGCTTTTATATTTGGGTGAAGAGCAAAACATTTGAGTCGCATGTAGAACACAAACCTGTAACTGCATGTTAGCGTGTAGAACACGGGAGCGGCTCCGGTGGAGACTGGATCTAAAACTTTCACATGACACACAGCTCATTTCTCCGTCACTGTAAGTTACTGAAACCAGACATGAAAACACGCAGCACACGGTAGACACGCATTTGTGCAGCAGAGCGGCTCTCTCGCACTATATGACGTGACAGACAACTAGTTGTCCAGTCCTGTTCCGTTCACACAGCACGTGTTTTCCGAGAATGCGGTTGTGAGTCCTGAAAATTTACGGTGAGTTCAGTTACAGAATGCGGTTGTCACGCCTGAAAATAACTATACTGTGTGTGAACGTAACCGTATTAAGGACTCGAATACAGGACTGACAACCGTATTCTGCTGCTGTGTGAACTGGCCTAACATTTCTTTTAATATACGCATTTTATCAGTTAATGTATTTCCTGGAAATCAAACTAGGGGCATAGCTATAATTTCAGAATTGAGGGGGATAGAAATGTCAAATGTAATACCATTTTTTCCCCTGACTTTTGTCTAATTGACAGGTTTAATTTTTCTTATCACTTACTTTTAATTGGCTAAGACATCAAATACCCTGCTGGACCTTATCCAATAATTTGTATTCTTTATTTCTCCTATATTTCCCTAATGACAATTTTATGATTAGTTTACATCCCCCACATCCCCTGCATATTCTTTGCCCATGAATCAAACCCATGATCGTTGGTGTTGCTAGCAACATGCTCTACTGATGAGCTGTGGAGGCAGGACTGTTTTTAAGTAAAATCTGATAATTTCATCTAAAGTGGTTTGAGTAGCACTCCAGCACGTTGATCGTTAGAAACCGTTTGTCTGCCAACTGAAATCTCAAAATAACTAAATCCCAAAAAAACAGTTTCATTGATTATAATGGGAGCAACTGACTTTTGATGCCTTGCACTGCTCTTGTGAATATGGATCAAGTGCTAAAGAGTTTTATATGTGCCCCTTCCTCTGTTGTGAAGTGATGGTTACACCTCTGTCTGAAATCGAGCAGCCAGAGTTATTGTAGGAGTTATTATAATTTCTGGTGTTTTATCGATATGTTTTTGTTACATCAACGAGGATGACTGTGCAGAAGACACAGATGGACTCACAGGCGGATCGCTTCACAACGTAAAAGCAACACCACCACAGAGCTATTGCCTGGAAAGCTGTGACACATCCGTGTGTGTGTGATGGGGGTGTTTGAGAGAGAATCAAATTCATGAAAGTGTCGGTCATGATGGAGCAGCCTGATAAATTCACCATGTTTTTGTTCCCGAGTTGTCTTCTGTGTTCTCTTAATACACTCCCTCATCTGTCCCGTCTAATTAGTATAGGTATCAATTCCCCCTTGAGTCATGTGGTTTCTAGTCAGCTGAAAAACAAACTAAGGCAATATGGCTCTATATGAGCTTAATGAAAGTATTATTTCCTGTATTTCAACACTTTTAGCTGCACACTGCCTTGTTTTCCCCATTTCCATGCTGCGACTGTTGTGTTTTTTCCAGGATGTCATTGTATCCATCCCTAGAGGACCTTAAAGTGGACAAGGTCATTAGGGTAAGCAGTGTTTTACTTATATACTGTTCTAGTTATTAGGGCTGCAAGGTAATGTTTAAACTAATTGCAATTATTTTGCTAAAAATTTATAATCGTGATTAATCTTAATTGTTTTCATTTGGGGAATATTTTTTATTTTTTTTTTACAGTTAGTGAGATTCCACATAAGCACAAATTAAGAAAATGTCAACTCGTACGCATGGTTTATTTGACCTTATCTAATTTCATGTTTTATTATATTTATCATGTACTTAAACATTTTCTCTACAGCACATGTATTGTAGCACAGAGTTTGTGTAAGTGCATTTATTCAGCAACCACAATCACAAAAAAGTATAGTCAAGATTCATGTTTGGATATATGGCAAATATCAAGATTATGCTTAAATAATAAAGATAAGCAGAAATCATGATCACGATTAAAATGAGTAATCGTGCAGCCCGTAGTATTTATTAATTTTGATTTCCTTTTATATTTTCTTTTTATTTAATTTGTACTGATTTTGCTGTGTGCTTTTGTATTTTTTTTCTTACTTTTTGTTTGTTTAAAAAAAAAGAATCTACATGGTTTTAATTTTTATTTAGTTTTAGGTTTAGATTTAAGTTGGTTAAGCTTACTTGCTTAAACTTTCAGTTAGTTGCCAGGGCAGCATTTCTAGTTTTAGTTTCTCATCTAATATTTATATTTTATTTAATTAACTAATGTTTTTTTTTTAAATAATATGTGTTTTATACAGGATAATAACACTGAAGATAAGTTGGTGCTTTAAAAGAACTGTTGAAGTAAAGTGGATGTTCACATGCGTTTTGCTCCTCTAGGCACAATCCCAGTTTGCCAATGCCACCTCCATCACCCCAGCCATCACTCAGGGGGTTTACCAGCCACAGCCTGCCACACAGGGGATGCCAAGCTCAAGTGAGTCCTGGCCTCTGCCTGTCTGTCTTCCTTTAAAGCTTCTTACGCCGTCTGTCTAGCTTCCATCTCCCTTATCATACCATTCTCTCTTTCATTACTAAAGTGCCGAGTGAGAGCTGTTTTTATAGAGATGATAGGCTTGCCAATGTTTTGTGCAATTGTCAAACAGGAAATGAAGACATGCCTTAGGGAATCTGGGAGCAATTTAACAACCTTCCCTACTTCCTTTTTTAATCTCAGTGTAAAACAAGTGCTCAAGTTGAGCCCCTCTTATCCAGGCAGCAATGGTTTCCACCTACGTGCTCTCATTGTGTCCCTGTGTGAGGCCTCTCGAGACACTGCCAGGATATTACATAACAAGAAGGTTAAAAAAGGAGTTTTTTTTAAGGTGGGGGTTCACACAGTACTGTAACTTGTGCTGTAGTGATAGCTCCTGAAGCTCACGTTATTATAGCCTCAAAGCAGTCTGATCATAGGTCAGTGCGGTGATATTCTTTATAACAGTGTGCTTGACATTCTCGTTTTATGTTGTCTAGATATTTATTAAATATGTATACTCAAGCTTTTTTTAATGTGTGTATAGCGTAGCCCCCTCATATATATTTTTTAGAATGTTTCACACACACACACACACACACACACACACACACACACACA